GATTTCTTCCCAGTCTTGCACAAACTAAATAAATCAATAAAACAATAAAGCAAAATAAAGTAATGAAATATCAAGGATTATTTTGCACATCCAACACTAACACCAAAGACTATGTTCGGGTCCCTGAATCCATTTTCAGTTTTATCTTTTGCCACTGGACTTCCAAAGACATCATTGTCATTTTCAGACTAACTGCTGAAAATGCTCAGACTTCCCCAAAGCAGATGGCCAGGCCGGCAGGCTGCAGGCACTCAGCACACCATAGGGGCTGACAAGACAGGGTGGCAGTGTGGCATGCCAGCTCTGCCCACCCTCCCAGACTGCCTGACCCTGCCTGGACAAGGAAGCCAGCAGTACCTGTTACCTGGCAGGGAGATCCACCCTGCTTTGAAATTGGGTGATTCTAGCATTCCTTAGTACAATCAAGGAATCCCACTCCTCCTGGCCCTGTATCATTCACTGGATCAAGAAAACAGGATCAGTATTTTCTGGGCAAATTCAAGAGATGGCCAATCTGGCCACAAAACTCTGAACTTGTAGTGTTTTTGAATGCAGCCTATAATGCTGTGTTGCTCAGGGCAAAATACCTGCTCGGTTGTCCTGTGGGACTTTTAACTCACTGTGGAGGTTCAGCAAAAGGCCTGACAATCAATGCTTGTTTTGTTCAGCTTGCTCTCAGTCAAGCTAGGCCCCAGGAGGATAGGTATCCATCCCCAACCCCACTGAAGCCTTCCCTTCTACGGACAAAAGGCCTCAAACTTTATGCTAGAGAGTTTCAACTGTACCCCTGACCTTTGCCAAAGCTGTGGCCGGTTAATAAAGCAAAAACCCACTGCTGTAGGGGATATATATATATATATATATATATAGCTATATATATATATATATATATATATATAGCTATATATATATATAGCTGGTGGTGCTACAGAAATGACAGGAAGAGAAAGCTTAGAAACAGCTGCTGAGGAGACATGCTTGGTGATCTGAGCTTCTTGAGGGACCTGATTGTCTTCATAGAGGAAAAGTCTGCTATGAGTGACAGGCTCTGCACAGGATGAGCGGGGGAGTGAGGCTGATATTCTCAGGCTACACAGGAATTCTAAAATGTCATCAGTCCTAAGAAGTGTTTCAGAGATTCTGATTACCATGCCACCTAATACAAGGTGTGTCCTGCCTAAATGCTATTGTTTTTCCCAGATATATAAGGTCTTCTTTTTGTTGTTGTTGTTGTTGATTGTGGGGGCTTGAACTCAGGGCCTGGATGCTGTCCCTGAGCTTTTTCTCTCAAGGCTAATGCTCTACCACTTTGAGCCACAGCTCTACTCCCAGTTTTCTGGTGGTTAACTTTCCTGCCTGGCATGGCTTCAAACCATAAACCTCAGATCTCAGCCTCCTGAGTGGCTAGGATTACCAGCTTCTCAGTAGCCACCAGCACCTGAATAAGGTATTCTTTTGACACTTTCTCATTTGTGTGTGTGTGTGTGTGTGTGTGTGTGTATGTGTGTGTGTGTGTGCAGATATTAGAGTTAAAACTCAGGGCCTATGTGCAGTCCCATAGCTTTTGTTGCTAAAGGCTACCACTATATTACTTGAGCTACACCTCCACTTCTGGCTTTTGCTAATTAAGTGAAGAGACTCATGGACTCTGCCAGGGCTGACTTTGAACTGTGATACTAAGATCTCAAACTTCCAAGTAGGTAGGATTACAGGTGTGAGCTACTGGCACCTGGCTCACCATCTAATTAAAAAAATATGATCCTCAGACCACTGGCATTGAAACTAGCTTAGACGTTGTAAAGGTGCAGATTCTTTCATCTCTTTTTAATATGGTAATCAGAACTTCAGGGAGAAAGACTTCGGTCTCCCCCAAGGAGAATATTAGCATCTTAGACACACAGGACTCCCTCTGGTTCACCCTGTAGTGGCCTACCTTGGAAACCATAGGTCATTTCCTTACCTACCTTCTCTCCCTACCATCACAAGTGCCACATCATAGGAAAACTCCAAAAAAAGAAAAGAAAAAAACAACAACTGATGGTCAAAATCAGCTAGCTTAGAAGTCTGAAGGATTGACTCCTGCCTTATTCCCCGAGGTCAAGCAAGACACCAGGTGCACACAAACATGCTTGACCACATGCCTGTCTGCAGGCAGGTTCCAATCAGGGCCTGGCCAAGAACACCACCGTTGGTGACCAGGGGACAATAGCTGCTCAAACCAGGTGGAGCATTCCACTCTGGGCCTGGCCAAGGACATCGCCCTGGGCCCCCAAGAGACCATAACCCATTTTTATTTTCTGCTTCCTTGTTAAACTCTAGATAAGCTCACCCTAACATCTAGTCCCTTGCACAACCTCCAAACCTGTGGGAAAGTCTGTGTCCCTCACTGGCAATAAACAGTCCTTGCCTATTAACAATCAAATCCAGCCTATTCCATTTCTGTTCTCCTCCATTTTCCTAACAAAGTCCAAATATGGCTCAAGTGGCAGAATGTCAGCCTTGAGCAAAAAGCCAAGTGAGAGTTCAAATCCAGTACTCACACACACACACACACACACACACACACACACACACACACACACAAATAACCAGCTAGTCTGTTTTAAGTTCATTTCACTCTAGGAAATGAAATCACTATCACCTCTGCCTAAGAGGAAGCAGAATAAAAAGCAGAGGGAGGAACCTGGTAATAATTGGCTATGAGAAAGTCACCAGATAAAGAAAAGGACAACTTCAAAGTGGGCAGAAGGGCCAGGTGCCAGTGGCTCATGCCTATAAGCAATCCTAGCTACAGAAGACAGTCTTCAGATCTTTGGTTCAAAGCCAGTCAGGGCAGGAAAGTTTGTGAGACTCTTATCTCCAATTATCTACTCAGAAAAAGCTGGAAGTGGAACTGTGGTTCAAGTAGTTGAGTTCTATCCTTGAGCAAAAGAAACTCAGGGATAGCACCTAGGCCCCGAGTTCTAATCTCAGGGCAAGCAGGGGGAGGGGGAGTAGGAGCAGAAGAAAAGCCAGGAATTACAACGAATGATTGTTGCAGTAAAGTACAATCTGGGAAAGGAACTACTTGTAGCAAAAATATGCAAGGATAAAGTTGGGCTCTGATGGCTCATGTCTGTAGTTTCTAATCCTAGCTACACAGGAGGTTGAGATCTAAGGATCACAGTTCAAAGCCAGCCTAGGCAGAAAAGTCTATGAGACCTCTTATTTACTATCAAAAAGCTGGAAGTGGAGGTGTGACTCAAGTGGAAGAGTGCCAGCCTTAAGGGGAAAAAAAGCCAAGTATCAGCTTGAGGTCCTGAGTTCAAGCCCCATTACTGGCACCTAAAAAATAATCAAACAATAACAAAATCCTAACAGTGTGACTCCTTATGGTTAGCAATGTTCACAATTCACATTGCATTTTCCTAAGAGTGGCAGTGCCTTGGTGCTTTGCTTTATCACATGGTAACTAAAAGAGATGGGTTTGGACCCATGTGCTTTCCCACAGCCTGCCTCCTCTGCTACCCATCCCTCACTGGGCTCACGGGGGCCAGGGTTAAGGGGGGTTTCCAGACACACACCCCTCTTTTGATCCTTTTTACCAAGATCATTCCTTACCATTAAGCCCAAAGCTTCACAAGACATAATTCTCCCGTGCCTCTGACCACCTATTAACAGGAGCCAATCTTTCCCAGATCAAAAGATCTGCCTGAGAACTGACAAAGCACATGGATTCATTGTGTGAGCAATCACTTCACATCATCCTCGGCCATGTGGGTCATGCGCTGTCTCAACTTGCTTTCCTCCAAAGTAAGGTGCAGCCTCAGCACTCTTCCCATTTGGGGCCAAAGTTCTTTGCTGTGTGAACCTTGCTCAGTGTTGTAAGGTATTTTGCAGTTCCCTGGCTAATGGTACCCCCACAAGCGTGGCTACCAAGAATGCCACCGGACATCGGCAGAATCGACACCTGCTAAGGTTCACATGGGAGTATGTGCAGCAGAACCATCTAGATGATGTAAAAACCCACAGTCTACCACTCAGTAAGCTAGGGCCTGACACCATGTGTCTACAACAAGCTGACGGCAGCAGCTGCTATTGTTAATGATAAAGGTAATGATGATGGTGATGATGGTAATGATGGTAGGCCCACACTTTGGGAACAACCTCTCAGCTGGATCTCCTAGGTGGCCGCATGCTGAAATCATCCATGCAGCTTTGTGTGTGTGTGTGTGTGTGTGTGTGTGTGTGTGTGCAAATGCTGGGACTAGGGCTTGAACTCAGGACCTTGTGCTTTCACTCAGCTGTTTTACCCAAGGCTGGCACTCCAGCACTTGATCCATACCTCCAGCTCCCAATCACGGAGCTTCAAACTAGTTCCAACTAAATCATCCTCACTAAAGATACTATTCATGTTTCATCAGTAGCTAAGCTCCATGGATGAGTCTAACACAGATTAAAAACCACTAATTTTAGATGTGGAAACTTGTTCTAGAACCTCAAACTTCTTAAGCAACCTGATATTAAAGGCATTCTTAGAAGATACATTGTTTATTTTAGACTATTTGAAAACTCCTGTCTAATATCACCAGGAGAAAGGGTTCTGGACAAAACTTGTGGGCTGAGACCATCTTATTCATGAGTAAATTTAGGACAAAAAACAAGTTTGAGCCAGATACTGGTGGCTCATGCTTATAATCAAGAGGCTGATGTCTGAGGATTATGGTTGCAAGCTACCCTGAACAGAAAAGTCTGTGAGACTCTTATCTCCAGTGAACCAGCAAAAAGCTGGAGTGGAGCTATGGCCCAAGTGGTAGAGTGTGAGCTTTAAATAGAAAAGACCAAGCAAGACTGTGAGGCCCTGAGTTTAAGACACAATACTGGCCAAAAATCAATCAATCAATCAAAACTTCATGTTATGGCAAAACTAAGAATCTGAAGTCCCCTCTTCTATTTCTGTTCCATTCCTATTGTCTTAAAGTGAAGCTGCATCTTTCAATCAGAAAAAGTGCCACATTTACCTTCAAACACTGCCCAGGTCTTTTGCTTCTTCTCAAAGGATGAATCTTCTGAAGCTTTGAGGGAAAACACTGGAAGAGACAAAAGGAAAAACTCAGTATGAAATGTAGAGGCTTATGGTACTGGTCCCCACCCCAAATAATGCCATGAACTTAAATTGATAAAGTGATGATCACACTGGTAAAAACACATATCAAGGGAAGATATAATATCATATACTCAACAGCTCTGAAAGTGGGTCCCAGGAGAGGGAACATAAGCTGTCTGTGTTTAAATCAGTAAATGTAGTCAGGTGCCGGGTGCCAGTGGTTCATGCCTGTAATCCTAGCTACTCAGGAGGCTGAGATCTGAGGACCATGGTTTGAACCAGCCCAGGCAGGAAAGTCCATCAGACTCTTAGCTCCAATTAACCATCAAAAAGGTAGGAGTGGAGCTGTGGCTCAAAGTGATAGAGTGCTAGCCTTGAACAAAAATGCCCAGGCCCTGAGTTCAAGCCCTACAACTGACAAAAAAAGAAAGAAATCAACACTCTTGACAAGATGGCACCTTGCAATCCAGCCAAATCTGCCATTTTACTGAGACAACTCTGGAAGCCAGATTTTCTCTTTCCTAGAATAGCCAGGTATTACATTCTCATGCTTGTAATCCTAGCTACTCAGGAGACTAAGATATGAGGATCACAGTTCGAAGCCAGCCTGGGCAGAAAAGTCCGTGAGACTCTTATCCCCAACTAACCACCAAAAAGCAAGAAGTGGAATTGAAGCTCAAGTGAAAGAGCACTAGCATTGAAAAAAAGCAAAAAAATCTCAGAGACCATGCCCAGGCCCTGAGTCCAAGCCCCAGGACCGTATACACACACACACACACACACACACACACACACACACACACACTCACAGGTGCTAGTGGCTTATGCCCATAATCCTAGCTATTCAGGAGGCTGAGATCTGAGGATTGTGGTTCAAAGCCAGCCAAGGCAAACAAATCTGAGAGACCTTTATCTCCAATTAACCAGTACAAAACCAGAAATGGAGCTCTGGTTCAAGAGGTAGAACACTATCTTGAGCAAAAACTAAAAGCTAACCAAGTGTGCAAGGCCCTGAATTCAAGCCCCAGTACTAGTACCAAGAAAAGTATATTTAAAAAATGTTTCCAGATGTTAGTGGCTCATGCCTGTAATCCTAGGAGGCTGGGATCTGAGGATCAGTTCAAAGCCAGCCCAGGCAGGAAAGTCCATAAGACTCTTACCTCCAACTAATTACTAAAAAGCCAGCAATAGAGCTGTAGCTCAAAATGGTAGAGCACAAAAAGCTCAGAGAAAATATCCAGGCCTTGAGTTCAAGCCCTCGAACCTGCACCAAAAATAAAGAAAGAAAGAGAGAAAGAGAGAGAAAAAGAGAGAGAGGGAGGGAAAGAGGGAGGGAGGAAGGAAGGAAGGAAGGAAGGAAGGAGAGAAAGAAAAGAAAAAAGGAAGAAAGAATAGAAAAGAAAAGAAACAAACAAAAATGTCAGTCAATGGCAAAGTCAAGATACACTTCCATCAAGCACCATTTGCTTCACATACTTGGAAATGTTATATTACCATTCCAATGAAAGTCTTCCTACAATCTAACATATTACACAGAAGAGTTGTATATGATGGCTCCTTCAGTCACCCTGAATACCATCTCCCATGCAACAGTTTTACAGAACAGCAGGGGCTGGATTCTGATGTTATTTTGTCTTCTTTGAGTTGGTGATTGACCAGCAAATTTACTGTGCCTGCTTCCAAAAGGCAGGAAACAGAGCTTAGTTCTACAGTGTCAAACCTAGAATGTAACACTAGGGGAAGAGATCCATCACAAGTAAAAACCCAAAAAGTAAACTAACAAACCTGCAGGGAATGAGATTATTGCTAAATAGAAATCCCTAAGTGGTTGGAAATGTTCTGTAACCACACTGCTGAACAGTGTAGAGTTGGTCACAGGTAGCTTCTGATTACTTGAAATGTGACTAGTTTGACTAAAGAACTGAGTTTGAAATCAAATTAAATGTTAATTCATTTACATTTAAATGGCCACATATAGTCAGTGTTGTTGAAGAACTTGAGACCAGAGAACCTAGGGCTGGACATTTCTTTTTTGAAAAAAAAAAAAAAGGATCATTGAAAAGAGGCGGGTGAGCATATAGTCATAATATAATAGCTAATGCAACCAGGTAACTTGAGGCAATGAGTGGGGTTGGGAGAGATAGAAGAACTATGAAAGGATGACTTAGATCAAAATGCATTGAACTATAGCACACAAACAAGCTTATAGTAAAACCGCCAGAACAGCCGTGTTCATTGTAGCATTATTTACCATAGCCAAGATATCGAATCAGCCTAGATGCCCCTCAATGGATGAATGGATCAAGAAAATGTGTTATATACACACAAAGAAATTTTACTTATCTATTAGAAAGATGATATTGCATCATTTGTAAGGAAATGGAAAGACTTGGAAAAAAATATTGAATAAGCCAGAAAAACAAAGGTTGCACTGTTTCCCTCATATGCAGTAGATAGAATGTATGCATAATCTATAAGTAATCATACTGGGTGATATGCAAGTGGTTACAAATGAATGACTGTATGGAGAGCTCAAATAGTATAATCTTTAGAAAGGCTAGATCAAAGCACAACAAAATCAGCTCCAGGAAATTGGTACATCCATGGAGGTGTGGAGCCAAGGTGAGAGGGGTAGATGAAAGAAGGGGAGAAAATGGGGAGAATGCAGCCAAGAACTTATTGCATATACTATAAAACTAAGTGGAATGTGGAAGGGGAGATGAAGATCAAGATGCGCTGTATTCATAAACTGCTTTGGTAAACGGCACCTCTTTTGCATAATCACTTAAAGATAATAAAAAATGTATGATATGTTGAACCAAAATTCCTTTGTACAACTACTTAAAGATAGAATTAGTACAAGAGGAAAGCAATGTGGCAAAGATGACCTGAGACTTCAATTAGTGCAATTTTTTTGTATAATAATACAAAACTCAAATAATATGAAACTCAATTCTGAATTTTCTTCCTGTGCTTATGCTAAATATTTTCTATTGATTTCTCTTCCAGATCACTAATCTTCTTTTCAACTAAGTCTATCTGCTATAAAAGCCACTTCATTGTCTTTTTAATTTTCATTTATTGCATCTTTCAGTTCTAAATTATTCATTTAATTGATTTTCTTATAACCTTGTCATCTGCAGCTTGTCATCTAATTTCCTAACCGTATTAATCATAAAATTTAAATGGCCATCCCTGATAACTTTCATGCCTGCGTCATCCATAGACTTGTTTCTATCATCTGTTTTTGCCATCTCCCTTGACTGACTAATTGAAAATCAGACATTGTTAGATAGAAAATCATGAGAGTACTAGATAAAAATTTTAATTTTCTGGTGGAAAGTTACAGGTGGATGATTACATTAATCTAATTAGGGTTTGGACTGCTCAGGGGATTGCTTTTAAGTTTTTATAATGTCTGGTCTTTTTCTTATTTGCCCTTCCTCTCATGGGTTAGTACAGGGGAAGATGGAAGGGAGACTTGAGCTCCATTAAGCTCCAGGTCTCAAGAGGCCTGATGTGGTACTTACTACCCTTGCAGTGTATGAGCCCTACACAATCAAACCATCCTTGCCCCTTCCTGAATTGGCTTGAGTGGGTTTCCATGGCTTCAATCATTTGAGTGTATAGACAAGGTCAGCTGACAAAATTTGAGTGAAGATAGCACAGAGATAGGTATTAAAGATACCTCCAAAAAGCTTACTTTTCAGGAGGTGAAAGCAGAGTCACAGTCTGGAAGCTCGTCACTCTTGTAGGTCAGCTTCCTAAGGATGGGATTCCTGTCTATTCTTGACTGCTCTAATTTTGAACCTAGAACCAGTGTGCAGTATCCACCCCTGACCTGAGTGTAAATCACCCATCCTGTGGCTAAATCAACCAACTGTAATGGGCTGCTGTCCTAGCCACAGACTGGGGTTTCAGCCATCTTTCAGCATCTATGATGAATGAGTTCATTGACAGTTAGGGATAGAAGGTAACAAATTCTCCCTGATATATGTACAGGGACAAGCTTTGATAAATCTCACAAACTGGAAGTCTAAGCTAATGGGGCTCTATGTAAGAGATTAATGGATGTATGGTCCTTAGGCTTTCCTCACCTTTCCTAGGGCAAACATTTGATAGGATAATATAGCAAGTTTGGCAAGGCACTGGTGGCTCACACCTATAATCCTAGCTACTCAGGAAGCTAAGATCTTAGGATCATGGTTTGAAGCCAGCTAAAGCAAGAAAGACCATGAGACTCTTATCTTCAGTGAACCACCAAAAAGCCAGAAGTAGAGCTGTGTCTTAAGCAGTAGAGCAAAAAAGCTCTGAACAAAAATGCTCAGGTGCAGCACATAGGCCCTGAGTTCAAGATCCAGGACTGGCATGTGCACATGCATGCACGCACATACACACACACACACACACACACACACACACACACACACACGACACTAACTGTAGTGTTGGAAGATTAGAAGGAATCTTATCTTTTTTAAAAGAAAGACAATAATTGTATGGGGACACTGTCAGAGCTTAGGGAATGTTCTCAAGGTCTGCTGTAACATCTTGTGTCCTTTGCTAACCTTGAGCTATTTCTATGTGAATTTGAGATGTTGTTGAAGGATGTGTCTGAGTCCAAAGATTATAAGGAACTGGGGCTAGTGGACATGGCCAGACCCACAGCCACAAGACAATCCAAGTCTCCACTTTATTAATAGCTCCCTCCACAGCGGACTTCATGTGGTTCATACAAAATGACCTTTGTGCCAGGTATTGGTGGCTCCTACTATAATCATAGCAGGTCAGAAAGCTGAGATCTGAAAATCAAGATTCAAATGCAGCCCGGGCTGGAAAGTCTATGAGACTAATCTCCAATTAAACACTAAAAAGCCAGAGTGGTGCTATATGGCTCAAGTGGTACAGCATCAACCTTGTGTGACTATAGGTAAGGGACAGTGCTCAGGCCCTGAGTTCAAGCCCCAGGACTGACACAAAAAT